AACAGCCGAGGACAACTTCCGCCGCCGCCGCCGCCGCCGTCCTCGTCGCCGTAGCACCGGCACTGGGCACTTCTCAATGTTTTGTTTTCTTTACAATCCTTGCTCAACTCTTTCTTTCCAACAGTGAAGTGCCCAGTGTACATTGAAAAAGTCTTCTCATTGTTTTTGTCATCAATATCCTCATCATCAGCAACATTATCATCACCCCTTCACTCCAAAGGAACTCCATCTTCATTATCATCACCAGCATTACCACCACACATTCCCCAACTTTATCAACTTCCAACCAACCAACCAGTCATTTGTTTCGTACTTGTACATTTCTCTCTCTTCCTCTTGCTGTCATCTTTGTTATACACCTTTTTTTCCTCTTCCTCTTTTTCTTTTTCTGTTTTTATTACCTTCTCTTACACTACTCTAATAAAGTCGATGATAAGTCAGTGGAGTTTGCGGTTTTATGTTTGTTTTTGAAAGTTGGTGAAGGAGATCGATTTTTTCAATTTTGGCGCCGTTTCGTCGTTTGTGGAGGGCACAGAGTAAGAGGGGGCGGAGCTTATAACGTGACGCTGCAATTTGCGCTCTTTTTGGGCTCACTTCGTTTCTAAATCTCGTCAAGATAAGGTCGTCTACGTCCTCGCCTTTGGTCCTGGTCCTTGTCCTAGTCCTGGTCCTGGTCATCGTCAATGGCTCATCAACAACCACCACCACAACCATCATCATCTGAAACCGAGGCCGAAGCAAAAAAAACTATCAAAAATGAAGAGGATACGAGAAGTAAGGTAAGCGCACCTTTGTTTTCTTTTGTTTGCAAAAGCTGCTAACGATTAAGTGATTTAGTGAGAACTAGAGAGAAATCACAGAGAGAAAGACAGCATCGTCGGCGACGACTACCACTGATTTATTGTTGCTTTTGTTGAGCTGAGAGTAAAAGTGAGAGAAAGGTAAAACTGTAGGAGAGTGATTAAAGAAGTAGAAGAACGAGCTAAAGTCAAAAACTAGAAGTTTGGTGTGTGTGCGTGTGTTGTTTCAAAAAGTGCTTCCAAAGTGAAACTTTTCTGCTGTTGTTGTCGTCGTTGTTTTGTACGTTTGACGTTTTTATCACCACGATTATTTAGAGCGATTCCCGGTCATCTCGCTCGATGCTGTTGCCTTTCTTGGCAGCCACTCGATTCTGCTTACGCAGCGCCTCCTCCTCCTCCTCGAGCTGAGGAGGACACTCCGCGGGAAAGATGCAGCCGCCGGTGGTGCCATTTCGAAGGAAGCCCGCCTCGCAGACGCAGGCCTTCTCGCAGGAGAGCTCGCACTGCGTGTGCACTTGCTTCAATCTGATATTTTTATAAAGAAAGAAAGTTGTTGTTGTTCTTGTTGAAAGTGCTTGCTCAAGTGAAAGAGTTGGAGATAAGAGATGGTGGCGGTGGTGGTGGTGATAGTAATTCTACCGCCACCACACGCGCTCTTTACTTTACCTTCGATTTTCGCACAGTCGCTGGCAGCCGCGCGTCGGCGACTGGCAGCCCCAGAACTCTTCTGGCTCGGTGCACTCCGCCTGGCTCTTTGTCTCTGCTCAATGAGGGAAGGAGAAGATGATTGAATTAGAGTTAGTAGCAGCAGTTGTTCGAAAATAAAAAGGGGCTCAAAGGTCATCGTCATTAGTGCTGTTGCTGCTGCTCTTTGCTTTGTTCTTGATTGCACACTTTTGTTTCTTTTGCCTTTGTGGTGGTTACTTACTCTGCGCACGAGAAACGGAGGAGGAGGTCAGCAGGAGGAGGGCACTGACTACGAGCAGCAGCGGAATAATATTCCCATGACTGACCGTGGCCACCACCACTTTGCCTGCTTTCAAGTTGATCATCTTCATCTTCGTCTTCTTCTTCTTCTTCTTGCTTTGAGGTTGTTATTGTATTTGTAAATGTCGATTTGTTTTTGTCAGTGGTGGTGGTGGTGGTTGCCAAGTGGCCAGTTTGGCTGCTTCTATTTCTATTTCTGATTTCTATTTGCGGCAGCGGCTGTTGTGTCGTGCCGTTGTACACCAGAAAAAATACATCCTCTGACATTCTCTCGCTTTTCTTTCTCATTCATTCATCAGCAGCAGCAGTTCTGCCTGCCTGCCTACTGAATATCCTCTGCACTGGACGCTCTTTGATAAGAACGCAGAGAGGCAGAAAGAGTGAGCTTTAGTTAGTGTTGCTGCTGCTGCTGCCGCTCTACTTCCTTCCTCTCCTCTCCTCTCCTTTTCTTCTCTCTTTCACTCTCGTACACCACACACTGTATGCTACCTACTTTGCTCTGACTGGCTCGCTCTCTTCCTTATTCTGCTCAGTTTCTCTTTCATTGACTGTCATTGAGATGAGTAGTAGTCCACTGCTTTCTTTTCGCTGTAAACTGACTGACTGTTTGTCGATTTTCGGCTGAATGCTCATCAAAGTGGTGCTGTCCATTGCTCTTTTTTGGGTTTTTTCTTTTCGGTAGCAACTTAGCCTCTAGCTGCACTTGATATTCGTTTTGGCTGTTTTCCCTAAAGTTCTTCCTCCCTTTTTTCCAGCCACTTTGAGCCTGCTGAGAATTGTCAAGAATGCTGCTGCTGCTGCTGACCAGCAAAAGCTGCTGCTACTTCTCGACGAGCAGGAAATTAGAATATGACAATTGTCAGGCAGCAGCAGAAACAGCAGCTCACTGCCATTCAAATGTCAGCTTTTTGTCACATGTTGTTTGTTGTTTAGAGTTGCCGATAAACAACTGGAGGGGACAGTTCCGTTAGGGTGGGACAATGGTGGAAGAGTAGACTTCATTAATACTGTTGTTTGCCTGAAAAAGGAGGGGGTACTATTTTTAACTTTCACTTTATCACTGTTCCGCCAGCTTTTTGTAATTGAAAAAAGTCTATTTTTACTTTTAATCTAAGATGTTGGTGTCTGATTTCGGAGAATTTTGCTGTTTTTGCTTTTGGAACAGTGGCAGAACTTTTAAATGCAGTTTAATTTTTTTTCTACTGTAAAGTCTGCCAGCTGGTGGGCTGGGTTCAAACTGTTGGAGCGACTTTCGCTGCTATATAGAATCCAGGTCGCAGAATCCGGGTCCCTTCTTTGCCATTAGGTAGTGCCACCGTCGTCGTCTTCGTCGCTGCTTTTCTGTCCACAGCAAAAGGTTTCATAGAGTGGAGTAAATAAATATAAATTGGCAAAACAATTTATTCCAATTCTCTTTTCAATTTCCAGGAAAAGGGTTGGCTGACTCTCTGTTTGACTGACATACACTGACACTGCTGCTGCTGCTGTCGAAGTCTATTGTCCCTGCTCTTCTTCTCCTGCTAGTTCAATTGACTACTACTGCTGATGCTGCTGTCAATAATTGAACGAGCGAATTTTCCTTTCTCTCGCTCGCTCCAGTCGCTTCTAATCCTAAATAGGATTAAATGGCGATTCTCCTGCTGCTGCTGCTGTGTAGGCGGCGGCGGACATTGTCGTAAGGTTTGACAATGTTCGGTGGTGTTGTGTCTGCCTGAGCAGCAGCAGCAGCAGCAGCAGCCGACCAGCTCGCAGCTATCAATTAGAGCTCGGCCAGGACAGAGACAGCCGTCCATGAATTACCAGTGAATTAGCGCAATGAATTACCACCACCACCAATGTGTGTGCTGTGCTGTGCTGTAGTCCAATTGTGTCAATTGGCGCACTGCACCATTTTCCCGCGCGCATTTTGTGGGGCAGATTTAATTTCACTTTGCTTCAGCTCTCTTGTACTACACACGCTTATTCTCTCTGTGTGTTTCAGGCGAAATAATTGTGGCTGATTGTCGTAGACCCCTCCTTGTTCCTTCTCGTGTACACTCGTCTATTCTTGGCAATTCCTTCTTCGCCAGCAGCAGCAGCAGCAGCACCTTCATCGAATTTTCGCTGATCACCCCCGGATTAGGCTTAATTAAATGCATCCACTACTGGAGATGGCGCACTGCTGCTAGGACTTTCTTTCTCGCTGTTTGTTTGTGTTTATTTGCCTTTAGATTCTTAAACCTAGGTTTAGCAGTCGGAAATGAGTAAGTGAAGTGGTGGTGGGCTCAATAGCCTTGAATTGATGCTGAAACGATAGACTGCTGCTGCTGCAGTTTCTTGCAATTCCAATAAGCATTGCCTCCTCCACTTGACTGGCCATTGCTGCTGCTGCTCGAGTAAATATGAATAAAGTGGGCAGCAGAAAGAAGTTGGGAGATAGCCATCGAAGATAGCAGCCAGGCAAGCAGGCTGTGCAGCCTTTGACTTTAGCAGCCTTCACAACAAAACTCCTGCTTTCAATACTCCGGAGAAGATCACTGCAGTCTTGGCTTTGGTCTCAAGAGGGGGATCATCTCTCCTGCTAAGGCAGGTTTCAGTGGGGATAACTGACCTGCTGGAATCTTCAGCTGAATCCTCAGTCTCCAGAGCCTGTGGTGGCCCTCCTGCTGGGAATTGGCCCTCCAGCAGGTATAAATAGTGCCTGCCTAGACGGCAGTCTGAGCGTCCTTCAGTCTTCAGAGCAGCAGCAACACTCGCAGTACCTTCACACCGCTATTTTTACCTTTTCTTGGCTCACTCCACGCCGGCAACTGCAACGCCAATTCCAAAACAGCTCGTCTTTCGCTGTTTCACTTTCTCTTCTAAATCCAAAGTGTCACCCCTGATTTTGTTTTCATCCTTCAACCTTCTCCCCTCAAAATGGCTTCCACATTCACTTTCACTTCCACTCCCGCTTCTTTCTCCGCTGCTCCATCCGCTCCAGCGCTGGTCATCCAAACCACCGACGGGCAGCGCTTTGAGCTGTCCGAGGAGATGGCCCGTCCGATTGGCCTCTTTCGCGACCTGCTCACCTTCACCGGTGACGATGCCGACTCGACAAAGAAGAATGGAAGTGGGAGTGAGTCCTCCTCAACCAACAACACCTCTTTCATCAAAAGTTCCACTGCTGACGACGATACGAAGAAGAAGGAGGAGGAGGACAAACCGATCGCGGTGAACGTGGACAGCACCACGATGACGCTCATAATGCAGTGGCTGGCGCAGCACAAGGCCGACACCGAGGTGGTCGGCGGCATCACCGACGAGGCCTTCCGCGAGCGGTCGCTGCCCGAGTGGGACCAGGCCTTCTTCCAGGACCTCGAGTACCGGTCGCTGGCGGAGCTGATCATCGCCGCCAACTACCTGGACATGACCAATCTGCTCTTCTACACGGCGAAAGCGATCGCCGGGAAGATGGCCGGCATGAGCACCGAGCAGATGCGCGCCTACGCCGGCATCCAGTGGGAGGGGCCCATTCCCGACGTGGAGGAGGGGGAGGAGGAGGAGGAGGAGATCAACTCTAACCCGGTTCTGGAGGATTTGGCGGTGGAAAAGGAAAAGGAGGAGGGGAACTAAGGGCAGGGATTTCTCCCTATTCTCTCTCTCTTTTTGCCATGCTCTCCAATTTCGAACCTCATTTCCAGCAATGCCATGATTACTGCTGCTGGTACCACACATTTGAAAATACATCATCAGCTCTTTCTTTTTCTCTGTTTGTTTGTTGTTTGTCTGTGTTTCTGTGCCTTTAGATTCTTCGGTAGACCTAGGTTTAGCAGTAGGAAATGAGTAAGTGAAGTAGTGGTGGGCTCAATAGCCTTGAATTGATGCTGCTGAATAGATAGACTGCTGCTGCTGCTGCTGTTGCTTGCAATTCCAATAAAGAGGAGCATTGCCTCCTCTTCCCCCACTTGACTGGCCATTGCTCAAGTAAATATGAATAAAGTGGGCAGCGAATAAGAAGTGGGGAGATAGCCATCGAAGATAGGCAGACAGGCAGTGCAGGCAGGCTCCTTCGACTTCTCAGAGCTGCTGATAACAAAAAAAAATGTCGCAGCCTGCTTGCAAATGACCACATTTGCACAAGAGAAGAGCTGTACCAGAGGTACCCTCTCAGGCAAGTTTACTCTGCCTGGTGTGCAACTCAACTCGACTCGGAGATGCGACCAGAGATGAGAAGAGTGCGTTTTTATTTTTCCAGCCCACAAATTGCCACCAGCTCTAAATATTCTCTCTCTTCATCTCTTTTCATTCACTTTCACTTTTGCCTCTTCATTCACTCTCTTTCTCTCTGGTCTCCCGAACCGCAGCACGTACACACAGCTCGTATCACAGACACAGACACACACACACTTTTGACACTATCATCTACAGTAGGATAATATCATCATGCGATGATTGTCTCTCTCTCTCTCTCTCTCTCTCAAAGCAGTGCACTCTTCGTTCTGCATGCTTGTAAACAGACTGACTGAATTGTCGGGGAATGGGAATGCATTGCTTTCTAGCATTGCTGGTGGGGATATATTTAAAGTGTGGGGTGGGGGTGATGACGATGCTGACTGAGCAGAGTCATCACCACCACCACCACCAGAGCACCAGTGTACTAGTGTTCCTTATCACCCGACTCCTATCTCCTAATGAGTAGAGTGTAGGATGAGGGAGAGTACTCTAAATAGCATTACGCCATTAGGGAGAGAGAGTGAAGGAGAAGGAGACCACAGCTGAGAGACTGTGGGAACGAGCTGAAGTTATAACGCTGTGTGAACACTACCGAACTCTAGCACTGTCTGTGATGTGCGATGAGATGTATCCACATTGCATTTTTTTTGATGCAGACAACTTTTGGGTGAGCTTTCGGGTGAGCTTTTTTGCTGCTGTCTCATGCTTCTCCTTCTCCTCTCCTCGACGACATCGTCGCATGTCGCATGTCATGGTCTGCTCCCATGTTACATTTGCTGTCGCTGTCGCTGTCCTCACTGTGACGAGACAATCTAGTTCATTAGCTCTTTCTCCTTTGCCTTCTCCTTCTCCTCTGGTGAAGTGTGCCCCATGTTGTGATCCATTCACTCTCCTCCTCACTGCCACTGCTGCTTTTGCCGGTTTTGTTGTGCTCTCTTCTTGATAAGGTGTATGGTCTCTTGTTGGGTTGTGGTGTTATCTGCTTTGCTCTGGTTTTGGAGGTGAGCATGAGAGAGAGGGAGAGAGAGAGAGTGGAATCATTTTCGCCCTTTTTGTCTTGTTGCACTCTTTGCCCCATGATTATGATGATTATTTACCCTGCTGCTGCTGTTCATTGTTTTCACTGTTTAGTAATTTTGTGTCCTCTTCTTCTTCCTCCTCTTTTGTTTTCGCCCCTTCTCTTTCAGCAGTGTTGTTCGCCGCGCTTCAAGCTTCAAACCAGCAGCCAGCCCAGCTAAAGCCGCCGCTGTCATCGTCATTGTTGGTGCTGGTGCTGCTGTCCAGTGCTTACACTCACACACAATGTCTGACTACAAACCAGAAGAGCAAGAATATTTCCCCGCGCGCGAAAATCGTCGCTTTTGGCACTGAGCAGTGCCGCTACCACCACCAGCGTTCCATTTGGAACAGTGACACCACACTGCAGCAGCAGCTGCACACTGCACTGAATCTCCTCAGCTCTCCGTCTTCAGCCATGTGCCACCAGCAGTAGTAGTGGTGGTAGTCTGCTGAATCCTCGCTCTACTCTCCTCAACCTCTCTTTGCTTCTTCTGGTTGCACCGGCACTACCACCACCAACGCTGAACAGCAGCTCTCTCTCTCATCATTCCGCCGTCTGACTCTGCTGGAGGCGAACGTGTACTGCACAATTGAACGCGCACTGTTTTTGCTCGGTTTTCTGCCTCACTTTTCTGACACCGGTGTCCACCACCGCATCCTTCTCCTCAACGTCAGTGTCAGCGTGTGCAGACGAGTCCATCGCACTATCATCATCGCCACCACGAGCACCAGCACCATCATCAGCTGTTTGTTTTTGTTGTCGACACTGTGTGTGTGATTGTGATTGTGCTGCTTTGTTGTTTTTAGCCGCCACGTTTTTTGCCAGCAGTTGGTTGGTTCGTTTTTTGGTGGTTTCCGTTTGCACAGCACTTCTCATTTCATCTCATCTCTTCACCCTCAGAACAGCAACAACGGCATCAAAGAAAGAAAGAAAGAAGGCCAAAGGTATGTGTCCTTTTTGGGTTTGTTCGTTTTCATTTCATTCATTCATTTTATTCTGTTTTCCAAGAATAGAGCGAGAGAGACACTTGATTGCACCAATTTACCACCTATTATTTGTGTGCTATTCTGGTGCCTCTTTCTCTCTTTCTTTCCCTCTTGTTTCGCATTTTATTGCCACTATTCAGACTTTCCCTCTCTCCGATGACCAGTCTAGCAGACACAGTCGCACTTGCACTAGCACAGACAGACGCAGATATGCTAATTAATTAATTTGCGTGATTGTCTCTAATTAATTTGGAGTCAAAATGAGAATGTGTATTTGCTGATGAAACACACAGTCAGACGCTCGTTCATTTGCTACAATCTTTGCAGCTCTGCTTGAGCAGCAATCTTGAGCAGTTAAAAGGCGCCAGCCAGTTGAGGAATCGAGAGATCGATGGCGACTGTACACGAACAGACACTGAAACACCAAAACTGGTGATTAGCATCGTCAGTTTCTCATTTTCATGCTCATTTCTTGTCTCATGCTTTGGACCAGTCAGTGCGAGGCAGCAATTAAAGCCTCGAAATTTTTGGGTGCTCGCGTTCTTTGCCTTATTACGATTACTATTACAATTAGAACACTGCTGTGCTGATTGCACACTACTCTTCAGCAGCCTTAAAGAAAGCACTGCAGCAATTATAATAGTGTACCCCTCTTGCTGACTGACTGACTGACATTTGCATTTAAGGTTCTCACTCTCTGCTTTCTCGATTTGATTGCTGCTTCTGCTGCTGCTAAGGCACAAGAACCGGAAACAGCCGCGAGAGCCACCACCACCTTTTTTACTTGGCCTTTTTTTACCATTTTTCTCTCTCTCTGCAGTTCAAGTAGATTGAATCTGTGTGATAAGTGAGTGATTCTTTGCTGTGAATTCTGCATCTCCCTCCTCCTCCTCCTTCTTCTCCTCTTTTCTGCCGTATAATAGTTTAATTTCAATTTAGCCTAACTGAATAGTGAAGAAGAAGATTGAAAATAGAATAGTGGTGACGCAGAGAATGGAATAGAATAGCAAAGACGGCGGTGCTGTGGTGTGGTGTGTATAATAGCCGCCTGGCTTCTCTCTGCCTTTATTCTGGCGGTAATAATGCAAATGCTGGGCAATTTGTCACACTTTTTACCAGCTCTTCTTCTTCGGCTGCCTCTGCCGCTGTTGGCCATTGCCTTATTTATAAAAACGGTGGTGGTCCTCTCGTTTGGTGCACACTTTGAATACCGCCGCCGTGAATTACTCTTGCTCACTCTCATACAGCGACAGAGACCAGCCAAGAGTGAGCCAGCCAGCCTTTCTGGTACACTAAATTATAGATAATAAGCGCTGGCGACTATTATTTCTATCTCTCAGTCCTTCTCTTCGATTATCAAAACTGATCGCCTCAATTTGTTTGTGCTTCGTTGAAACTGAGTGGCGGGGAGTGGTGGTGGTGGTGGTGGTGGTGGTGGTGGTGCACTGTGGGGCCACTGAATCAAACTTTTGATTTGAAGATGATCACCACTACCACTCATGACTGATTCCTGCGTTTGGCCCTTTGGGCTCGCATTTTGGTTATTAGTCGACCACCAGCTCCAAACTGTAGAGAAAGGGCAGACTGCAATTCCTTGTTGCTACTTTGGCTCGTCTGCAGACGGGCGCGCCTAATTGATTGGCTATTTATTCTTGCGAGAAGTGTGCAAGAAAGAGAGAGAGTCTAGTCTTGTTAGGAAGTGAATCTATCTATTCGGTATCAGCGCTGGTTGTTGTTCACCGAGTAGAGTTCAGCACTGTTGTACAGTAACACTTATCAGCGGTGCCGATTTGCTCTTATTTATTCATTCATTCATTTTCTCAGTGTGTCTGCTGCTGTTGCTGGGACAGCAGGGACAGCAGTGTTTCCCAGCAAGTCAACCTAGCGTACAAATTGATGAGAAGGAGATGCTCCCTTGCTAAGAAGGCAGGGAAAAGAAAGAAAGAAGAAAAGCGAGTCTATTGACGGATTGCGCTGCCAGCACTGCCGCCAGTGCTCATTCTCTCGCTCTCTTTCTAATGCGGTCGTCGGGCAGAGCAAATTGCGACTTGATGAGAGAGCTCTGGTGGAGCAGCGTCGATGACCAATGACTCGAATATTCAGTGCACTTGCTTCATTGCTGTGCTGTGCTGTGCTATTCCAGTGCTGTCCCTGTTGTCGTCCACCAGTGGTTCACCCGAATCCTTGGACAGCAGTAGCAGCAGCAAATGTGACAAAGTTGGCCGGCTTGCTTTTGGCCGTACCAGGAAATGGAGTGTCTCTGCTGCTAAGGCCTTCGCTGCTGTCTCCAGGCTGAGCTAGTCGAGTGAGTGTGTCTGTGTGTGTGTGTGTGCCTGGTGTGCATAATGTTAATG